GGACATTTTAATGATGTTGATGCTACCAATCCATGAGCACAGTATATGCTTCCACTTGTTTATGTCTTCCTTTATCTCTTTTTTCAATGTCCTATAGTTCTCCAAGTACAGATCTTTTGCCTCCTTGATTAAGTTTATTGCTAAGTATCTTAATTTCTTGGTTGCAATGGTAAATGGGATTGTTTTTTTTTTTCATTTGTTTCTCTTTCTGAGAGTTCATCATTGGTGTATAAAAATGCCATAGATTTCCGTGTGTTAATTTTGTATCCTGCTGCATTGCCAAACTCATTTATTAAATCTAATGGTTTTTTGATGGACACTTTAGTGTTTCAGTTTATTGCTAAGTATCTTAATTTCTTGGTTGCAATGGTAAATGGGATTGTTTTTTTTTTTCATTTGTTTCTCTTTCTGAGAGTTCATCATTGGTGTATAAAAATGCCATAGATTTCCGTGTGTTAATTTTGTATCCTGCTGCATTGCCAAACTCATTTATTAAATCTAATAGTTTTTTGATGGACACGTTAGTGTTTCCTATGTACAATATCATGTCATTTGCGAATAATGACAGTTTTACTTCCTCCTTTCCAATTTGGATGCCTTTTATTTCTTCTTCTTGTCTGATCACTATGGCTGGCACTTCCAGTACTGTGCTGAATAAGAGTGGTGAAAGCAGACATCGCTGTCCTGTTCCTGTTCTTGGGGAAATGGTTTTAGTTTTTGCCCATTGAGTATGATGTACATGACAAGTCTGCCTATTTGGCCACCATTTTCTCCTTCTCTCCCTCTGAAAGTTTTAAAATAAGAAAATACTGGCTAAGTTTAGCTTCCTAATACTAAATTCAAGACAATATTCAAATATTTATGAAATATAATTATATTTTTACTATTTCTTATCTATTAATTATTAGCTTTGGGACAAAATAGTAAATCAAATACAATATAAATTTGGCAGCTAATCTTTTGCAGTGTTTAGTCTTTGTCTGTGACATACATAATTATATGTCACATAGGAAGGAAAAATAAATAACCAAATAAATATTTTAATACATGTGAATACCATTTTGTTTTAGCTGCACTTTGGCCTTCCCCTCAAAACTAGCTCATTGCTAGAATAAGCACTTGCTGAGTACTTGTTTTATATAAGCATTGTGTTTAGTGATGTGGAGCATTTAGAAAATTATTGCAAATTACACGCTTGAGTCTAGAAGACTCCTTGACAAGGTCGCATGCCCATTAAGCACTGGTTGTTAAGAATCAAACTGAAAACTCTGTTGTGTGGTTCTGGTTTAATCTGTCTTTTCATAAAATGTCACCATAGTCAGTAGGCCCTCAGTGCCTGGCCATACAGACATAAGAAGGCACAATAAAAGCAGTCTTCAGATGTCCCTAACCTATTGTTTATTTTTATTCTGGGTAAATGGTAAAGTTATAGGCTTCAGAGCTCTTTAAAATAAGCTGAGTAGTCAATAAATAAAAGTTTATATAATATTTCACATCTGTATTTGCTATCCATTCAGTACACATATTATGGGATCGGAAAATTCTAAAGACATGCTAGGCCCATATTTAATTACTTTCTGAAAAATTTTAATAAACATGTGTTAATGAATTAGAAAGCCATTTGAAGACTGTTTGTATCACAGAAACTCATGGAATTCTTACCATTTGCAACAGCATGGATGAAACTGGAGAGCATTATGCTAAGTGAAATAAGCCAGTCAGAGAAAGATAAATATCACATGATCTCACTCATTTGTGGAATATAATGAACAACATAAACTGATGAACAAAAATAGATCCAGAGACAGAGAAACATCCATCAGACCGTCAAACCTCAGAGGGAAGGTAGTGGAGGGTGGGGGTAAGGGTGGGAGATCAACCAAAGGACTTGTATGCATGTATATAAGCCTAACCAACGGACACAGACACCAGGGGATGAGGGCATGAGTGGGGGAAGTGTTGAGGGGGCAATGGGGGGATAAAGACACATATGTAATACTTTAATCAATAAAGAACAAAAGTCAGAAGCTAAGATGTGTTTTCAGTGGAAATGTCATATTTTAATACAGGATATGCTACAATTTCAGGTACAAGCTGTTTTGAAAACATTAATCTTCAAATAAACTGGTATTATCACTGTTATTCCATAAACATGCAAAAGGGGAAAAAAAGAAAAACTCATCTCCCCAATTCTTTCCAAAAACAAAAGCTAGCTTTGGCATTGTTTATAGATTGTAGGCTCTTTGTATATGTCCAAGGGGGAAGGGGGTATTCAGACAAGTGGATTGGACTGGTCTCTGGAGAGAGCCCTTGATAGATGTGCCAAGTGAGAGATATAAGGGAATGATGACTGCTGGCAAACCTTTGTCGCAGTGAAATAAGAACCTAGGGTATTTAAAGTTTCCATAACTATTTATAAAAGCTCCATAAAGTGCAGTTGCAGCTTTTTAAAGGTCTTAATAAAGTGTCTTTTTAATTTTTGTCTGTAATCAAGGGAAATGGGAATGCTTTTAGATGTAAGGTGACATGTAATTACAGATTTTTATTTGTTTGTTTGTTTAGAATCATTAAAAGTAACTTCCCAACCTGGAATAATATAATGGCAATCACACAAAGGGTAAAAATTACTTTAATCAAGATTCAGTTTCATTGTTCAACCACAGTTTTAATGGCTGTGTTGCTGCTGTGGAAATCTGAAATATTCTTTGCAATTCTTATATAGGATTTCTTTAATTATATGGCATAGGGTCTTCTAGTTGAACTAAAAAAAAGGGACATAAAATTCTTTACTGTTTTGACATATTTGCTTACTATTTCCTCAAAATTATTGAGCTACTACCTCAATGAAAGACTTAATATGTCTTTAAGATCAGTGCTTTGCTTCTTGGCAGCAAATGTAAAGGGAAATCAGAGTAAGTTACACTGTTCTCTTATTATACCAATAAATTAGTGTTTTGGGAGAGACAAAATTTTTCCTAGTAATAAATTCTTAAAACAATGACTATTTATTGGGGGGGGAAAAGACCATGTATCTTCTCCCTGCAAATTTAATCTAATAAATTAAGTCTAGTGACACACACACACACACACACACACACACACTTTCTTACTAAAACTCTAAAGGATTATATAAACACTTCAACTCTTTTTAAGTCTGATTCCTAAGAAGGAAACACACTTAATGACTCTTCATTTGTCACCTCCAGAAACAAGCAAGTTGGGTATTTCTTTTATTAAGATGTGTTAGAACGTCATTAATAGGACAGCCTTCTAAATAGGCTATCAGCTTTGAGAAAGATCACACTGTACTAAGTAATGAGATGTGAGAATACATTGAACAGCTTGACTTCTGCTCACTTTTACTTAAGAGTGTGAAGTGTTTTAAATTAGATTATGTTAGTATTGATGAAACATGCACAGGGGGGAAATAATTTAAAGGCTTTGTTCCGTTTTGAGAGCTAGATAAACGGCATAATTTAAAAATAAAGCCCTGTGACCCAGCAGTAAGGTAACAACTCTCATGTGCTGTTGAAGATAGTGGGAATTGGGGCAACCTTTTTGGAAGCCAATTTAGAAATGTCTATCGCATTTACCTATTGACCTGGCGATTATGCATGCAGATTAGAATTGCCCTTAGGTAAACTTGTAAAAGTACACCAAAACAGAGGTGTAACAGCATTCATTGCAGTATTGTTGAAATAGTAAAGGAAGAATGTTACAACAATAATCTAAATATACAACAAAAAAGGGGATGGTTAAATTAAGTGTATATTCATTTAATGCAACACTTTAAATTAATAAGAAGTATAAGGTGATTCTGTGTATGCTGATACGGAAAGGACTCCGGGATGGATTAGTAGGTAAATAAGCCAGAGAGACCATTGTAATGTCTCTTTTGGATAACCTAAAAAGCAGAAATACAGATGTGCCTCGACTTCAGATGGGGTTAGTTCACCATAAGCCCATCATAAGTTGAATATGCATTTAAGACATCTAATCTACTGAACGTCATAGCTTAGCCTAGCCTACTTTAATGTGCTCAGAACACTTACATTAGCCTATAGCTGGGCAAAACCATCTAACAATGAATCCAACGTAGAGTATCGGTTGTTTAGAGTATAGTGATGGTGGGGCTGACTCAGAGCTGCAGGTCGCTGCCACTGTCCAGCATCATGAGAAAGTATTGTATGTACCACATATCTCTAACCCAGGAAAACATCAACATTCAGAATTTGAGGTATGATTTCTACTGAATACATATTGTCGTTGTACCATAGTAAAGGTGAAAAATCGTAAGTCAGGGACCATCTGCGTCTACATACATAGATTTGTGTCGATACATTGATATTTATGTCAATGTACATATTGAAGAATCATGCGCATCTTACCGATTTTCTGCTTATCTGGACGGTAAGCTTTGGCTGTGGCTTAAAAGAGGGAGGTTCTGGCTGGGGTGGATTTCTGGATGCTTTTCCCTTCCATTTGATAGCTTTCTGTACAATTTGATTTTTAAAAATTATATACATCTATTTTTTAAAAAATACCGATATGAGTATTTTGAAGTAAGTTACTGCTATTGGTCTTTACTTTTATATAATGCAAAAAACCCCAGTAAATAATACTTTACAAAATAATAAAGCACTGTTGTCAGGTCATGAAGCATGACAAACTCTAGACACGAAGGATGGTATTGTCAGGGAATCACCTCAAGTTGTCTATGTCATATTCTCATTGCAAACAAAGTCAGTTCCCTCGGGTACCTTCCCACACAGCCTCTCTCATCCGGGTGGCAGGTAGGGCTACTTGGTTCAGGACAGCGGGAGACAGCATACCTACCTCCCCTTCTGCGCAAGAAAATTTGAAACCAGTCATTGCACTTGTCTTCCTAGTCTGTGGAAGGAGAACGTTCTACATAAGAAAGGTAGTTTAACACAGACTCTCTGATGGAAGCCATTCTGAAAGGGAGCAATAGAATGACTGGCTCTTTTGAATCTTTTTAGAACTGCAACTTCCGGTGAGCCCCTCCGTGTGTTTGGACCAGAGCACACAATTCAAGCTGAGCTCTTGGAGTCACCTTTTAAAAACCGTGAAGCCGCCTATGTGGAAACCATGGGCCTGGAGACGTGAGCAACTGTAAGCTAATCATTCGAGATGTTATGTCCAATGTACATTTTTAGGAGACCGCTAGCAAGAGAAAAGCACTGAACGGATCTGGGGGGGTTTGTATGTTTGAATTATTAGGTCTGTTACATAATTTTTTGGTTATCTCTTTTTTAAAAACTATATTTTTATTGATTTCAGAGGGTAAGAGAGAGGGAGAGAGAGAGATAGAAACATCAGTGATGAGAGAGAACCAATGATAGGATGCCTCCTGCACACCTTCTACTGGGGATCAAGCCGGAGACATGGATGCCTCCTGCACACCTTCTACTGGGGATCAAGACGGAGGCCTGGGTATTTGCCCTGATCTGGAATTGAACTGTGACCTCCTGGTTCATAGGTCAATGCTCAACCACTGAGCAACACTAGCCAGTAAAAGAATGCCAATTCAAACCTCTCCTGCCACAGGATAAGCATTTGGGTAAACAGAACTCTTACTTAGGAAGTTACACTAATGTAAGTTGAATTTAAAAGCTTGAAAATATGAAATTATAAACTTTTAACTTCCATTTTATGCTCAAATGACATTGCCTTAGTCCAGGGGTGGGCACAATGGGTTCTTAAACTGGACCAGAGGGCCGGAACAAAAGCATGGATGGAGTGTTTGTGTGAACTAATATAAATTCAAAGTAAACATCATTACATAAAAGGGTACGGTCTTTTTTTTTCAATAGTTTTATTCATTTCAAACGGGCCGGATCTGACCCACGGGCCGTAGTTTGCCCACGTCTGCCTTAGTCTGTGAGTATTGCTGAATGAAATTTTTTCTTAGTTATTTTTTTATGGCTTTCGGGATCTAAGAAAGCAACTTGGAGTGCCATATTACTTCTAGAAAAAATGATTTGTAAAGTAGATAAATTAAGAGATTTTAATTATCTTACCTACAACACAAAATAGTTTTCCCTGTCTAGTTTTATAATTATTAGGTAGTATTTCCAAAGTTAATAGTATTCTTTGAAGAATCATACGCATCTTTTGCTTAGATAGTTTGAATATAGAAACATGGTAGAGAAAAGCAAGTAGTTATACCTTTTGATACCATTTATGATGAAAGTACAGTTATTCATCATAAAATATTAAACTAGTGTTATTTTTCCTTTTAGACTAAACTATTTTCCTGATGTTTCATCCCTTAACTCCTAAATATTTGTGGTGAGAGTTATTAGGTAGAA